GTGAGAAAGATTGGACCCTACACGCGGACTCCGTCGTCTACCGTATGAACGCTACCAAGAACTCCACTACTGGTGAATCACCCTACTCTATGCTGCTCAACATTATTCCCCGCTGTCCTTTCTTTCAATCTCATATGTCCAATAATAGCTCATCTTTCTCTACTGAGCACGTCTGCTTATTTCCGGTTGGTACGGTTGTTGCTCGCAGGGTCGAGCAACCTTTGAAGCTAGCTCCACGTTACGAAGGGTCTTATGAAGTACTGGCAGAAGTGCGTCCTGGTACTTTCCGCATCCAGAGACTTGGCGCCACTTCACCCCCTATAGACGTGAAGCAGGACCGCCTGAAAGCATATCCAACATCTGATCTTATTCAACACTTCTAATATCAGTCTTATTCCCCATACAGTCCATTGCTTTCAGACGTGTAGCAATGAGCGCTGTTGCTGTTTTTGTTCATCTCTTTCTTTCTTGCTGCATCTACTAAACCATTGTAAGCTTCGAGGGGGGGGGACGTGTAAGGAGTCTTCACTCTCCGCTCCGCTCTTTGTATATTCCGCTAACGGGGGACGTGTAAGGAGTCTTCACTCTCCGCTCCGCTCTTTGTATATTCCGCTAACGCCCATAGCCTGATCGATACATAGCACAATAGCGTAGAAGTAGATCTAAGTGCAGCTCACATATATCCTCACCTCGTCGCGTTGCTAGTATGGTTGGAACCCCAACAACTTAGGGAGTCCCTTGGAGTGTGGATCGACAGTGTCGATTCGACACATAGTCATCCCTGGTAGGAGTCGGGCTTTACATTGCAGTATCCGTATAGGAATCGTGGTTACGATGTATTATGACAAGAAATGCCCTTGACCAGTTATATATGCGTTAATCCTACTGTGCCACTGCTAAGCTCCGCGTTGTGAGTCAATACTTGCACACAATACCCTTCCTTCGGTGTGCCCCAGGTTAACGTGTACCCAAAGAACTCTCACAACCTCTATACAGTGAAGACCCTTCATTCTCGAGTGGCAGTCCTTGAACAACTACTCGAACAGAAGCCAACGGGAGGAAGGAAACCGATGCGTTGATTCAGGGAACTTATTCGTCATGCATAACAACTTGAGTGGGCCATGATCCGAATTTATCATTCCACTCGATATACTCCTCAAGCTTAGCATCACTGGCATGACTGTGGGCAAGCGCATCGTCGAGATCAGCCTTGCCCAGCGGTCGAGGAATAACATTAGAATATTCCTCCTCGTCACCCGATGATACAATTTTGGCCAAGGCTTCCCGTATGGGTACCTAGGAGACTCCTAGTAGGAATACCATCAAAATCACGATACAAGTTCGCCCAAGGCAGAGCTTTAAGTATAGCGCGTCCTCATGACTCGGTAAAATCGCCCAGTTGAGTTTATGCCTCATACTAAAGTAGTTCGTCGCTATCAGAATCTGATGCCCTACTATCGCAGCGGCGCACATCAACTGTTTGATGTCACTCCCAGAATATCCCTCGGTACTCTCTGACACTCGATGTATGACTTCTTCATTGAGACCGGCTGGTGTCTCAGTCAATATGCTAGCATGATGTAGATCCAGTAACCTGGTGATTAGATACTTCCGAGCTCCTATGCCGGGCAGCGGGGTGTACCTGATCGCACCAGCTGGGCATCACCTAAACTGCATTCACCATAACTGTAACACTACTGTAACTGTATCACTATATCAGCTATAACTATATAACAGCATTTGTGTTACGTGTCAATGCTATGGGCTTCGTGGAACGATCATATCCAGTGAGGGCCAAATCAAAGAGAATCATGATCTTCTTGTTAGATACCCTACAGCTTTTTGGGGAATCTCCTCAATGCGGCAGCGTCAATCTGCCAGGGTAGATTGGTCGCTCCAAGGAAGAGTATTCGAGACTCGGGTCTGCTGGTGATACCATCCAGAGCGGCAAGGAACTCATTCTTTAATCGTCTCGTGGACTCGTGGTCCCCTTCGGATCTTGCACCGAGAATACTATCTACCTGCAAAATGATGTGGAATAAACGCAGCAGCTGCTAGTCGAGTGGTGTGATGTGAGATAGCCGCAACATATCGATGAGGGGAGCATGACGTGATCCATCATCGGCTCCATGGTATTGATGTTTTACCTCATCAATGAATATGACTGTTGGTTGGTAATGATCAGCCACTTGGAATAAGGTATTCACCATTTTCTCACTCTCCCCGATCCATTTCGAGAAAAGAATTGATGCCGACACGTTTATGAAAGTGGCATTCACTTTAGAGGCTATCCATCGTCCCAACATGGTCTTGCCGGTACCTCATAACAACAGGCATTCAACCTGGGGTGGGGTTAGAGCGATGGACATGCAATCGCGATAGAGGAACATACGGGAGTGTTATCCGAGTGTCTTCATCATTTCAAAACTTCAAACCAAGTCAGGTGTCCTTATATGTGACAACTCAGCCCCACCATTCATAGGAACCATTCGACGGATCATTCGGCTACCGGTGCCCTGAGACATGCTACCGGGTGGTCCAAAGAGAAGTATGCCTCTTGGTGGTCTTGTCAAAGGGGAAGTGAAAAGCTGCGGGAACTTCTGTGGCATTATCAGTACTTC